ACATTAGCACTACAGCAAATGTCAGGGTAGGGCTACAATTAGGGTAAACTAAGGCAAAAGAAAGGCAATTCCTAGTTAGTCAGGCTATGATTAGACTCGGTTTAAGGCTACTGGCAGCTTTTGCCATTTTTTGAGACAATGACTATAAGGGAAAATATATGGGACAAAACATTTTTTTTCCATTTTGTATTACCTTTTTGCTCTATTAACACATTGAAAATGACTCAAAATTCACCAGAATATCACGTAGTATTAGTAATATAAAAATTAAAAATATACACCAGGTTACTGGCTTTGGGCATCAAGCACTAACGTGTCATTGATGCCTAAAGGGTTACTCTGTCATACAGCATAGACTGGAATTTGAGCTGACATTTTATTGTTAGTGTAGCAACCAGGCAGTGCACACCAGGGCTGTAGCTACCATGGGGCTGTAGCTTCCATGCACATATGGATGGAGCTCTGTCAAAGCACATAAAGTAGGGAGACTGGGTGGATCTTAAAGACAATATATAAAATTTTTTTGGACTGTGTATTTGTGTGTGAGATTGTGCCTGTGGTTGTGTGCGTCTGTCAAGTGTTTTTGAGGGCCTGTTCACACTAGTACAGTGCTTTAATCTCAGTCCCCTGCGATTAATGCAGTTTACCAACCAAAGCGCACCGACCACACATTCTGGCATGGGAGGTGCATTGCATTGCCATTCATTTAAATGGCACCCCAAACGCATCTCCCACCCACAGTTCTCTCCCCCACATCGGAACGCAGGGTACCGCAATGCTGTGCTTTGCATTGCAGTGCAACTTGGGTCACAACTTAATGACCAAGGACAAATGTGGGTCCTGAGGTTACACAGGTTGAGAACCACTGCTATAGACAGTACCATCTTTGACTGAAAGGCCATTTGACATTGCAGTTATGGTACAGGGCTTACATAAACAGACAAACCCTAATATTACAATTCACATATTTTCCCAATGCAATGTTCCATGGGTGTCCCAAGGCTCCCAGAATCTGTTCACCATGCATCACATTGTAATGTACTTCTGCCTGCCCACAGCCATCCTTTTAAAGGAAACTATAGTGTATTTTCTGTCAGCAAATTATTTTTGCTGCGACTTTCACATTTAACATGTTTGTATCTTCATATTTTGTTGTATCAAAGCCCAATTAAATTCACAGAAATACCCATGCAGTCTTATAGATTTATACTAACAACTTTTGCTATCACAGTCTTACTGCTGCAGCCGTTGTGTAGGATGTCTAAATATGACTGTGCAGTCTACTGGTGACCAGAGTTTGGCTCAGTGCTCCCAGTAATTTACATAGACCTGGTCAGACCCACCTTACCCCCTTCTCTGCAATACAAGTCTTTGTAAGGATACTTGCAGAGGTGTGTGGCAGTTACTCAGCTCTTTCACCACTGGGCACTGGAGTGTGACAGCTGGATGCAGAATTTTCACTGAGAGGAAATGGTATTTACCAACATTTCCAGACAAAGTTAATCCAAATCATAAAGTTCATGGGTACCAGTCGATAAAGAAATAAAAACATGCAAGACTTTGATTCTGCTTTCAACATAGTGATCTGTAGATTAGCTACTAAAGAGAGCTTTATATTTCACTGGAGCCACTGATCCTGCAGCCTGGTTAGTTGGATAGGGAAACATCCATGTAACAGCACTATGAAGAAAACATAAAAAAATGGCGCACAGATCTAAGTGCAGTATAAAAGTGACTGTTTAATAAGGTTAAAAGTAATGCACTTACAGTAATGCACTTATGAAAGTCCCATCTAAGCTGCTGGTCCAAGAATGTTATCAGGATATGGAGAGAGCAGAGTCCAGTCCAGAAAGATTCCAGAACACCCGTGGATCAGATCTGTGTCTTCCAGCACAGGTGTTCTGGAATCTTTCTGGACTGGACTAGACTTTGCTCTCTCCATATCCTGATAACAATCTTGGACCAGCAGCTGAGATGGGACTTTCATCTGATGCGTGATAGGTGAGATGTTTTTTAATATCCTGTAAGTGCATTACTTTTAACCTTATTAAACAGTCACTTTTATACTGCACTTAGATCTGTGTGCCAGTTTTTTATGTTTTCTTCACAGTGCTGTTACATGGATGTTTCCCTATCCAACTAACCAGGCTGCAGGATCAGTGCACACATCTACTCTGGATTAATTACCAGTAAAACTGGAGTTCCTTTGATACTATAAATATATAGCCCATAAACAATCAATCTAGTTGCGCAAGTTGATGACTTCTGTTTTATGATAAAATCTTAACAGTGGCTCTAAACTATCCCTGATTTATCCAAAACAAAATAAAAAGTTTTGGTAGGAGTCGCACTCTAAGCAGTGCCAGTGAGCGACTGAATGGCTCCAGTGAAATATAAAGCTCTCTTTAGTAGCTAATCTACAGATCCCTATGTTTAAAGCGGAATCAAAGTCTTTCATGTTTTTATGGGAGCAATGACTAAAACACATTTTTAGCAGAGTGAGAAAAAGTTAGAACTCCTGACAATGTTTTTATTGCTAGATGTGTCCTCCTGGGTTGGCGATTATTACAGTCACCATTTCTCGTATATGTATCACAGGGCAGGAAATGAGGGAAAGTCTCCCCAATGGGGACAGACATAAAAACCTGACACAGGATTTAACTCTTTACCACTCTGTCCAAAACTGAAAAAAATGAATCCCACAGTTAGGTTTCAAAGAACCCCTGTAATTTAAAGAACTTATTCTTGCAGTGGGGCTACCCCGGCACTGCAAGTGTAAAGTACTGCTTTGTTCAGGGGGCTCAAATAAAACAGATATACTCACCGGATCCTTGGTTCTGCAGTGGACCTCTTTTCCCCTCCACTCTGGCATGGGAATGTCCCTCTGCGTCCCTTACATCTAATGCAAATCAATAGACTTGCATTAGTTGTGACGACATCAGCGGTCCTTAGACCGTCAGAGCCCAGGGGAGTAGAGTTTGCGGGGACCAATCTACCAGCCTGGTGGGACCAAAGATCAGGTGAGTATATCTGCTTTATTTGAGCCCCTAGACAAAACAAGCACTTATCCCTTGCAGTGCTGGGGTAGCCCCACTGCAAGGGTATGTTTTTTACATTCTTTTTACATTCTTGTTTAACAATTGTTGAGATAATCTGTACACCACATAAAGACTTGCGTTGTGAGAAAGCACAGTAAAGCACAACTATTATGTAGTGCTGCAAGCAGGAAGCAAAGCCTGAATATTCAATGAGCAAATATGGCGGTCTCCATGTAATTATATATTTACAAACTATACATAGAAACACTGTTGTAAAACATTGACACAAAGGTTGATATGATTATTTAGAAGATCTATTTTATCTAAATCTTAAACTAAAAAATATGTTTTTTACATACCTTTTTAAGAAGGAAATGTGATAACATAATAAAACAAGGGCAGTTTGTAATTCTCTGTAATCCTGTAAGCTTAGCCCAAATGTCTTTTCTACAAGTCATTGTATTTTGTCCCAAAATATACACTTTTTATTTACCATGAACAATGTTCAGTGCAGCCAATACAGAAAATATACATAACTGATAACAAAAGCCCTGCCTTGTGGAAACCTGAGCTGAGCTCACTATGGATGGACATGTTGGACCCTGTGTAGCCCAGAGCCTATAGGACTGGATCCCAGAAATACAACACTACACAGAACTACACTGAATAACTCTGCAGGAAATGAACTTTGCAACTTCATATCTGTTGACTGATTTATCCTTGTGTTCTTATCATTCGTATCATATGACTTTATCTAACATCTGCGATGGAGGAACAGCAGGTGACTGTGAAATAGCCAGAGGTACCGTCCGTTGTTTGTGTTTAAGGAAACTTGTTTTATTTGTTTTCTACCTTTATTTGACTGCGTTTTATCATTTTTCATGATAAAAGCTAAACATTCAATTTAATTCAGGAGCCACAGCCTGAGTAGACAAGCCTGTGTCCAGCCAGAATGCTGCAGAGAAGGACCCTTGATCTATGTGGAAGCAGTGTTCTCTCTGAAGAGATTTAACACACCTCCTACTGAGTCACTCCTGTGCAATCAGCACATCTCATGCTCCCTGCTGATTGGTGAACTCTAGCTCTGTGGGCATGTTGCACCTCTGTAGAACAAACACAACAATTTTCCAGCACACTTACCAACTAGCCTGCAAAAAAACAAATTACAAATTGTGTTAAAAACAGAGGTTTTAGTTGCACAACATTTGCAAAATATGTGGAAGCCACGCTGCCTTGTCATGGCTCCTCTGTAGAGAGACCACTGCTTTCACACAGAGAGCCAGAATTTAGCAGCATGTTGGCAGGATATACTGTATGCTTTTCTACTTAGACTGTAGCTGTTTTCCAAGACATTACACACATTTTGTTTTGGTGCGCCTGGAATGTATTTAGCTAAAAGTAAACTAAATGTTCAGATGGCTTTAAACTATCTTCAGAGGAAGAATATTTTCAGTTAAAGAGCTGGACATTGAAACGCATGCTAATAATGTTTTTCCTGCTAAATAATCTGTATAATAATCTCATTACTCTAGAATCTTTCTGTACTGTATGTCTTTGTGGCATGAACAACCACCACCTTTCAGATCCTGCAGTTCTTCCCACTTCCTAACTGCCTGGGAATACCAGTACATCCTAAGCACCCCACCTCCTTTAACGTGAAAGTTGATATTAGCTGTGTGGGGAAAGTTACTAGTTTGTAAAGCTATCGGTAGGAAGAAAGAAGTATGTCGATGGGTCTAAAGGTCCTTATACAGTACCCCAAAACTATCACTCTGCATAGTTGTTAGATGTACATTGAGATTGTTGTTTGCTATCTACTTTAAAATGTAAAAGTGTAAGTAGTCCAGGTCCACCAAAACCTAAAATATTAATTTTCAGTGAACTGACTCTTTAAATAAAACAGTTTCAACAGGCTTCATTTGTGAAATAAAAAATTAAAATAAGGCTGAAAGTGAAGCGTACCTTTGTAGCACCTTGAATGGCTCTTCTGATGACCACCTTTATGTGTGGAGCATTATTTGAAGGAGGGTGAGTGTAGACCTCAGCCCGTGTAATCCCTTTCCAGGTATCTCCTTCTGGCCACCCCAGATCCAGCATGGGGGTTGGGACATCAGTTTTTCCAGGCCAGTAACTGATACTAAGATCATCATCCAGCTCCGAGTCTTCCTCATACTCTATTTTTCCCAGCTGTGAATCCACTGCAGAACTTGCCATGGAAACCACTTCCTCTCTGGACAGAAACGGTCGCATTTCTTCACTTTTTAGGTAGCTTTGAAAGTCATTTTCTCCAGAGCTTAATAGTATTTCCAAGGCAGACCTTTGCTTTTCAGAGTAATAAAATTGGGGGCTTGCCTCAGTAATGTCTACAAATTCCAGTTCATCCTCCAGGCACTTGAGCTGAGAGTTTGCCATCTTCACAGTAAATTGTTTTCCCCAATTCTTATCAAGGAAATATTTAGTAATAATGGCCAGTGTGTCTGTTTCCTAGCACTGGGACAACCTTGTAGTTGTAACAAAAATATCCTCTACATTGATTGCAATGTGACAGCTGCAAATAGATAAACAGTGTTACAAAGGTGATAACAGAGTACATTGTCATCTGTTTACACAAAGTATTTTAATAAACACATTATAAGAAATTCATGTTAAACCAGATATAAAAAACACCATTTACTGCAGATATGTACTCATCAAGATTTTTTTTCCTAAATGCAACTAGTATAAGTAAATGACTGACTTGCTATTAAAGGAGAACTATGAGGTGGGTGCTTTTCACTCACCTCATAGTTCCAGCCAACCTGTGACAATGAGACTGTCACAGGTCGGTTCAGTAGATCGAGAGGTGAGCGAACACATACCGGCGTTCGCTCACCTCTCCATCCTGTCACAGCTCTGTGCCGTGACAGGGGAGGGGCTGGATTCCCCCCTCCGATCCGCCAGCGCTGACTGGTGGATCGGACGGGGGAGGGGGCGGGTACAGCTGGCTCTGCCTCTAGATAGGCAGAGCCAGTTGTCAGTCACACAGCTGGGCGGATCCTGGCACAATTGTCGGGATCCGCTTCAGCTGCGGCGTCTCAGTATACCTCAAGCTACTGCTCGCGGTATACTGAGCCTAGGGTGACAGGAGGACGTTAGTTTGTGTCCTCCCGTTACCCTAAGGAGAACTATGGGGAAAAGCCTTAACCCTATAGTTCTCCTTTAACCTCTTCAACTGTCCTGTAAAATTAAAATCAGTCTGGGAGATGGAGGGGCACTAGGAACCAATCAATTTTTCTGCATGTGCCAACCTCATTAGTTTGCTATTGATGCTTCCTTGATCAAGCAAATGGCTTGCTTGTGTTATGACCAATAGGGTTATTCACAAAAGGGTGAAGAGTTTGTAGAAAGCAGGAGAAATGAACAATCTAGGTCATAATAGCTGAACTGGAAAGTGAGCTAAATTTGAGAATTTTTCCAAATCAGCTATTTTGGTCTAGATTGTTCACTTCTCCTGCCTTCTGCCAAACGCCTCATCCTTTTGTGATAACCCTGCAAGTGTTGTTAACTAAATTGTGCCACTGCTGCCCTGAGAGTCAATGACCTGGCTCCATTTTCTGGCAGGGGAGCTAGGAACACAAGATTGGCTGCTCAGAATAATTAGAAATCCTTCAGTCAGGTAAGTCTGTGAAAGTTCTCATTCATCCAGGTCATGGTATATCTGTCAAAAAATAAGTCAAGGCCAACTGGACTTGCTGTATTTTTCCTTGAAGACATTTCACTGGTCATCCAACCAGCTTTCTCAATTCAGAATGACTTGAGAATGAAAAAAAAATTATCTGGGAATAAATAATAATAAATAATAATTCTCAGTCAGGTAAAACAATTCCCTTATATGTATTTCAACTGCCCATTTACTTGTCTAGAGTTCAGCTTCAATCTGTACCATTTATACCAGAAATCCAGTGCTATCCTGTGCTGTGTGTCTTTAAGTGTATTCAAGTACTTCTGTGGCCTTGGGTTGGATGAGCTGCTCTCATATGACCTATAATAGTTAATCAGTGGTCTTCTGATGAGACAACTCATGGTGACCAGTTTAGGTCTCTGTAGAGTGGTAGTTCTCTCTCTAAATATAAGTGTAAGACTCATTTCTTATCAATAGAGAAATAAACCCTACTTTAGATGCAATATACCAAGAATTACCAACAGAAAAATGGTAGTGCAATCTAGATCTAAGAACAAAAACAAATCAACACAAATGGATAGGATTTACAAATCTGCCAGGCATTGTCAACCATTTGTAAGGTAAAATGCCTGGATGCTGGTATAAGACCAGCACTGGAAAACAAAGAGAATAGTCTGGTTCCTCTTCATCTTCACCTTTTACAGAGAGGAACAACTATGAGTTTCTACTAATTTATCAAGGCCTGCTAAAAACCAGGTAAAAAAAAAAAAACCCAGGCCATCCATAGACATTAGAGAGTGGTCTGACATGCAGGACTGGTCACACTAGACTCAGAATCGCCAGTCAAATAAACATGCACGGCTAAACTCTGAGTTTGCATTTTTATGATATGAAGACATCCAGGGGTCTCCCAGCAGATACCTCCAGAACCAGCTTATGAAGGGGTAAATAATAATGATTATTCCAAAATGAATTATTCCAAAGACCTGTCAGGAGGGACTGTCTGGCATAATCTTCTGCTGGCCACAGGGATAAGCATAAGCCTCTAACCTAGTCCAGTTGCATAGAGATTGGTTGACTGTTAGTGCATGTCTATGGGTACCTTTAAGACATTATTCAGACAGAATAATTAACAATGCAGTAGCCTATAGCAGTTAATCACTTTTCATCTTTTTTTTGTTCTGATTGCTTTAAAAGGATTCATAGAAGAAAGTTAATTTGGCTGCTGATCTACTTTCACATCTTCACTTTGATTTGAACTACATTAACAAATAAACCCCATTGTGACAGTAATTGAAGAGGAACCACAGATTATCCCAAATATTATACATCTCTTTAGGTGATATTACATCATATCTCATAATCAGTGATCTGCACATTTGGGTACAAGGTTATTACCATGTAGCAGTTCTTACATACTTACATAATTAAATATCTGACTAAGAACAAAGCTTACTAGTGAAAATGCTTCCTTTGAAAAGATATTCTGGTAAGAATGCATCCAGAATTATTGTTTTTTTTACTTATTTGTCATACTGTCATAAAGTGGCCTAATATAAGAGAATGTAACAGGTTTGCCGAGGGCTCAGTTCACATTGCTGCTCTGGCAGCCTTAGAGCAGGGAGAGTAAGGACAACCAATAGATAGGCCCAAGAGATGTCACTTGATGGAAGGCTCTTAATGTGAATACTGAACTAGCCCTGGGTCAGAAATTGATTTTGCAAGGGGATCCAACCGGTAAACTGGGCTGTGAAAAGTTTGTTTTGCTTACCCTTTCTGCTCTAAAGCAAACATGAATAGGCAAACCCCAAAGCTGAATTCCAAGCAGATATAAAATACATAAAATAATGCAGCACTGTATTCAATAGGGATGCACAGATACTTTCGAGTACCAGTGCAGATACTTGGCATTTTCATGAGAACTACCAGGGTTGCAGCAGTTGCAGCTGGGACCTGGCTCTGGCACTTCACCACTGTCGTGAAATCATTAGTCTGTATTGTTTTAGAAAAACTGTCACATGACAATAAACAAAAATGTATCAGTACTCGTACTTGTAAGTACTCGGCAAGTACCAGTACTCGTACTCGTACTCGCAAAACTGGTATCTGTGCATCCCTTATATATATTTCTAAAAACAAAATTGTACATTAAAACAGAGATGTACAAATCCCAGGAGCTCCGTGTGCTCCTTACAAATGAAAGCTGCCTCCTAATTTTTGAATTTTTCTCTAGTGTAGTCTTGGAGCTCAAAAGTATCGGTATATGTACTCGTACTTGTACCGAGTACTATACTTGGTATCTGTGCAACCCTAGTATTCAATAATAAATTATTAAATTAATTTTTTTAAACGAAGATGTGTAAGTACCTAAATTTGACTTGTAGCCTATTGTATTGCATTGGTCTGAGAGAAGGAAAGAGACACAGGACAAGGACCCAATCAGTTGCCTATCAGTTGTCACCATTCTACGTAGACACAATGATTAGACTGACCTTTACTCCTCACAGAGTTGTGTATGCAGGAGCTTATACTTTGAGTCCATTAGATACCATTTGATACATTGCCCTAAGCCCTGATGAAGGGTGATTTTTGGCCCCTGAAACATTCTGACTGCATATTGCGTTCCTTTAAAATTTGTGATATTAATAAAGGGCTTTCGGAGTTATGAGATAATTATTTGGCGCTCTTTTTGACTCGCTCGTATGTGGATTTCTCCATCTGGGTTACCACTTTGTCTTTGGGGGGTCCTCCTCTTTGTGAGTGCCCGTAAATAGCTTTCATCTATGCTGTCACTGATTGTCATCGGAGGTGTCAATTTCCCTTCCTGAAAATCATGAAATACCTGAAATTAATAATTCCCCCATCCACACTAAATAGCGTGGTTGGAGGATCCTATCATTGGCTATTGTGTTCTGAAAGTGACTGCTCCCACAGCTGTCAGAATACCTGGACAGTGACTGCATGCAAATGGCTAGGGTCACTGTTTGGCCAAGAATATTCCACTCAGCTCCTTCGATTTTCAGATTGAAGCTTGGCGAGCTTGGTGGTGCTGACTAGACATGTGCGATTCGTTTCGTTGTGAATCGAAATTCGGACGAATTTTCAAAAATTCGGACATTTGGATGTATCCAAATTCCGAATTACAGACATAACGGATGCAGACGAATCCGAATTTCCATATCCGAAATTCGGTACCGTTAGTACGAACGTTCGTTTCGTTTTCTGTTCTTATTCGTTTCGTTCGTTGGAGCAAAGTGACATTAGAGAAGGAGAAAAATATTTTTTCATCCTCAAATGTCACTTTTGCTGCAAACGAACAAACGAAACGAATAAGAACAGAAAACGAAACGAACGTTCGTACTAACGCTACCGAATTTCGCCCGAATCCGAATTCCGAATCCGAATTGACTTTCACACCCGAATCCTGAAAAACGAAATAACACAAATCCAAATTTAAAACGAAACGAAATTAAACGAATTGTTTGGCAGTGCACATGTCTAGTGCTGACCGTGTTGCCCTTGGATCAGATTTGGTTGATTCAGCTTTAGTAAACTAAGACTACTAGTAATGCTGATAATAAAAGTGAAAACAGCATTGTCAAATACTGAACTTCAGGCTTTCACCACTTATACCTCTTTTGCAAAAAATCAAAGTAAAGGTAAGATATACCCCTAAAAATATACAGCTGACCCCCGCTAGGTCGTGGTTCAGAGTTTGCGGCCTCGGTCGTTCGCTGATTTTTCCCATATAGGGGTAACATCAGTATTTTACATTCTAACACTGCGGGAGACATAGCAGTACAGTACTGTACAGTATACTTATTTGCCTTTACATTCTTTTTTTTTTAGGGTAATGTATTAAGCTGAGTTTGAAATGAAATTAACGT